TTAAGGATATCCATCATCCTCCTTAAGGTATCCATCATCACCGACCTTAAGAGAAAGGAAGGATATTGTCTAGGGTTAGACATAGCAAATAAACAGAATGGCAATTTGCACTACTACTTTGTGTAATGCATCCTGATTTTTTCTCATTTTAGGGAAATATCTGGATCAATAACCACTAACCAGAATTTGGTGGGTTTTTATTAAAAAAAAGTCTGCTCTGCAAACAGATTCAGTTTTTCACCTCCTTGGGTGTCCAGAAAATACAGGTCACGATGAGAAAAAATTATTAGACACAAAACAGCGTACCACATCCTGGAGGACATAGTAGTAGTAGCATCTGGGGAGCTGGATTCAGTATTCTCAGTTGTACAGATAACAGTATAGCAGTGAGCATCGGGTGCAATCAAAGCAATCATGCTCTGATTGCAGTCTGATGTAGTGCAAGCAGGAGGAGCAGAGTTGTGAGTGAAAGGACAGCGCGGCAGCTGCATTTCAATGGGACTTGCAATTGTTCTGCAGAAAGTGATGTATGGCAGTCACAAAACCCACTGCCAAAGCCTAGTCAGACACCAGCAACAACCTGGGACGGCGTCAGGCATCAAATCTCCAAATCAACATGAGCCTCACAGGGGCAGAAATATGATTTTACCTGAAACCAGGCAATGGTCAGAATTAGCTCCAGATGCCTCCCTTAACAGCTATTAAATTCAGAAGCCCAGTCCTGACAATGGGTCTGTCCAACAAGGAAAAAGAAGCAGGAGAGAAGAAGAAGGGCATTTTGAGGCTTTGCGTTTCAAGCTCATGTATAAATGTGCACCATCCTCTATCCATCCACTGTTTAGCTGCATTTTTAAGGGATTTCTGGGAAGATTAATGTCACCACGTAAGCCATTCAGAGCAACTGAGTCTTAAAAAAAAGATGTGTTTTGTCAGACAAACATCTGGGTGTTCTTGTTGTTTATAATTATTGTGGAGTAAACCATAAAGTAAATTCTTTAATATCCATATTCTGTGGGACTTTTCTCCAAATATTTTTTTCATGTACTACAAGGGAAAATGTTAATCATGTACATCTTCTGTGGCATTTAGTCATGGTAAATTCCTAACACTCCCTCCCAAGGGCTTACACTGAATTTATGCTCTCAAATAGTAAGATTTATTCCTCTACATTTAAGTCTGGAAGATAAGCATGATAAAGAATACTTTCCCCATAAACCCAGTGAGAAGGAAACTAGATATTTATGGGGAACAAGGAACATATCTCTGCTGTTTACCTTTTTTTCAGAACTGTAAGGAAGAAGAAATAAACCAGAACCCATGATCAAGGGAATGGAGCACTTCTTTTTTGAGGAAAGGCTGGAAGACCTGGGTCTGTTTAGCCTGGAGAAGGGACAACTGAAAGGGGATCTTATTAATGCTTAGAAATATCTAAAGGGCTGGTGTCAAGGGGTCAGGCTCTTCTCAGTGGCACCTTGTGACAGGACAAGGGGCTACAGACACAAGCTGGAAGTGCAGTTCCAATATGTGGAAAAACTTCTTTACTTTGAGGGTAGCAGAGCACTGGAACAGGCTGCCCAGAGAGGCTGTGGAGTCTCCTTCTCTGGAGATATTCAAAACCCACCTGGATGCAGTCCTGTCCAGCCTGCTCTAGATTTGGTGGTGAACCTGCTTTGGCAGGGGGGTTGGACTAGATGATCTCTGAAGGTCCCTACCAATCCCTACCATTCTGTGATTCTGAGCAGGGAAGAAGCTGAGGTCTGTTTGGGTCCAGCAAGCAGAGACAAAAACTCACACCTCCTGCAGACAAGTCAAATCCACCCAAATGAGTTTTGAAAAGCCAGCAGCATCCTCCCTGCTACAGATTACCATTACAGCTTCCAGCTGCTTTGGGAGGTTGGGGAGATCAGGGTGGCCCACCTTGTTCAAAAGGAATGGTGAAGGAAAGCTCTTATATGAAGCTTTCCTTCTCATAAAAAGCTTTTAGGAGAAATACAGAGTGCAAACTATTCCTACTGTGACGTGCCTGATGACCACAAAGCACAGAGCTTAGAGAAAATGGTCATCTGGCAGGTGATCCACTGGCCAGGCTCTCCCACAAAAACTGTTCTTTACGTGCAGGACATTCTTAAAGATCTGCAGATGTAAAGACAGGAATTATCTAGTCTTTGAGGGGAGTGATAAAGTGATAAAACTATTAAACCTCTAAAAGACAAGATGGAAAACTCTCTAGATTTTTACTGAATTTTATCTGATTTACTCCATCATTTTTAGTGATTATAGTTTGGGGCCCATTAAGTACAACTGCGTTTTCATTTAGTGAGGTGTTTAATATTTAATGGTGGCTTTCCAATGTTATACACATTGTAATAGTGGAAAGTTAAAATTAATTGAATCTAGTATAATTTGAATCTGGTAAAAACACTAGAAGGATCCTACTGGAACTATAATAACAGCAGCAATAGCATTTCTGGAAGACTGAAATATGGTGTTATGCCTAAGAAGACTGTTTCCAATAGCTCATCCTCAAAATGCCACCCAGATAGGGAAAAAACCAGCAGAAAGTTTCAGGTGGAAAATGAACCAATAAATATTTCATAACTTATCTCCAGCTTTTTTTCAGAGATTATGATGGCAATTAGGACAGTATATACTGTTTCTTTGATATTGTCTCTGTCTGCCAAGGCTATATGCTCAGTTGGGTTATTCAATTCTTAAAATGCATTATGCTCAAATCATGCTTTCTAAAGTGGTTTTCTGTCAGAACTACATCAAATGAAAGCTATATTGCTGGCTTAAATGTAATTCAGCTCATCCTTGTTGTGTCAGGATGTTTTTTTATATATATAACAGGAAGGAAATGAAAAGATTAAAAAAAACATTAGTCATCATGAGGTTTTTTTAATATCATCAGCACTACCATAAAGCCAGCTAATAAATTGCACACTATTCAGAAGCAAGAAATAGAATAAAATTAGTATTGCATTACACTAGATTAATCATAGCCCTGGGTTACTGTCATCCTATGGAAAACAAAAGCACGACTAGTTCAGATTTTAAAGTTTCTTCTCAGCCTTTAAGATTATTTGCCTTAAGAGGCAAATAACAAGCCCGTGTACTGAAGGAAGAACACAAGATTTTGGGCTGGTGGGGTTGGTAGATTTTTATCCTTGTTCATAAATGACAGCAAAGAAGCACTGATGACTGGGATCCAGATGGTTCACAGTAACGCATCATAACAGTAACCTAATGAAGCTTTTGAGTGCTGGTGACAGGTAAATGCTTGAAAGGTTTATGGCAGGGAAAAAGCTTCAATAAATAACTTGAAAACGTATCTCTCGTCTTACTTGCATAATTATTGCTTTTCATAATGGCTTAATGGAACAGCAAAGCACAGGTGAAGTAAAGGCTAGAAAGGAGGAACTCTCTCTGGAGCTAATAAGATGTACAACGAGATTTCTTTTTACTTCTTGTAAGATGAATAGCTACTTAAAAACCTTCAGCCCTCCTAGACTTTAGGGGAGAATTTTAAAATTTTTTCATGTAGTTTAGTCTGTGGAGGGATCAGGAGCTAAAAACAGAGGACATGAGTTTTTTCTCAATGGATATTTTAACCAAAAGAAGAAAGTTCTGGGATCTCTCACATCACCTTTTCTCCCTGGTTACCTGTGAAGAGAAATCTGGTGCTCCCAGAGGGAGCAATCTGATGGCTGCTTCACAGGGCAGGAGGCCAGTCCTGCGAAGACTCTGATGTTTCTGTTAAAACCTTTTTTATTGGAAACCCAGTTTTTTAATAAATGGGAATTTTAACAGAAATCATCCTTTTTTTTTTCTTTTTTTTTTTTCCTGGGGAAGAAAAAGGCAGACTTAAAACTCACTGAAGGAGGGGGAAATTGGCTAAAAAGAATACCTGGAAAATTTTCAGGTTTGATCAGAAGTGCACCAGGTTTTGTAAGCTGGTTTCTGTTTTAGGTAGAGAAAATGATAAAACTAAAAAAAAAAGAAAAAAAAAAAGGAAGAAATTGGCTGAAAGATATTTTTCCTGTCAAAAGTAAAAAAAACCCAAACCCTTATGTTGAAAATTTCACTTAAAAAAAGAAAGTATCTATTTCTGTTAACATTCTCTACTGTCACTTTTCCAAACAGATGTGATGTCAGTGGGGAAAGTGTCAAATGGGAAAGTGCTGTCAGTTTTTCTGTGGGTAGGTGAAGCTGGTATGTCTTATGCTCCCCTGCACCATCACCGAATGCCTGGTTGAAGCTGGTAGCATTTGTGGTTTGCACAGCAGGACTCTCAGAATTTTAAATTCAACCTGCCTTCAGCCTCTGCTGGAAGAAAGACCCTCAAAAGTGTTGGCAGACACTGAATTTCTGCTGTTTCGTACTGTGGCTGGTAAAACAATGAAAGAAATCAAAGGATCTGCAGTTAAAGCCTATGGCATGTACACAAGAACAGTAATAAAATAGACAATGTGAAAAGGGAAGCCACTGAGGAAAGATCCATCAATCTCGTAACTGTAAGCATCATTGAAAGCACACAGACAATGCAAATGGCCCAGAATAAGGTATATAAATAGTGCAAGGGGATTGAAGCAAAGAGTTCGGCATGCAGTTTATTAGATTGAATGCTATTATGCAAATAAAGCATTTAATTACAAAGCAGCTAAGATACATTCTTCTGTTTTCTGCTGCTGAAATAGAAATTGTCCAGCAGTTGTTCGCATAGCATCATTGAGGGGAACTATACTTCAACCTCAACAGTTCTTACTTGATTCACTGTGGTTATTTTGGGCCACGCAGCCTAATTTAGGACTGCTGCAGGTGTGTGACTTGGGCCCTCCGAGGTTTCAGGTGGGAAAGTCTGATAGATGTCGGTATTTGACGGATTCATTAAAAAGTCCTAGTCCTCTTCCCTCTTTTCTCCAGTTGTCTTGGCTTCCTTTTGAGATTCTGCTGGAGGAAATTCTGTGCCTACATACTAAAGCCAACATTTCATTTCTCAGTTTCTACAGATCAAGTGATGAGATGTCATGTGTGAACCCCTTCAAGGCCAACAAGAGAAACTCCGACTTCCCTACAGAAAATTGTGAACTGCAGTTTCTTACTGGCTAGCAACACCTTAGATTCAATTTGTATGAAAACTCAATTTACTTATTAAAATGGACGTTACTGTTCAAATATTAGAAATCCCATTTCTTATATGTTCTAAGCTGTACAATTGTCAGATTTTTATGGTTTAGATTGTAAATGTGTTTTTCTCTGGCTAATTATTGGTATTATTTTTTTAATTTTGATGTCTTAAAGGCCAATGTACTGTATCATAATAATATGAAGGACATATTTAACAGGTGTGGGGAACACTGTATACAAATGTATATTTCTAAAAGCTATTTTTATGATTAGCATGTTTTACTGTTTTACCATATTTAGAGTCAGGTGATATTGTACTTCTTTGTTTTTACAGCTTAATTCAAACAAGATCACAATTAAATACGTTGTATGGTATTTTCCATTATTTTATTTATTATATTCATCATTGGAAAAACTTTTATTAATAGGGATAGCTGCTAAGAAGTGAAATTGTCAAAATACGAGAGCAATCCTTGATAAACTGTAAATTGGATCCTCCTGTAAATCACTTTCTTCAGATAAGCACTCTCTGTGATGCCATTCACTAGACAGTTGTTACAGCAGCTCCTCCAAGTCTCTGAAGGCAGTTTGTTGTTACCATGTGGAAAGTGTACACGACAGTCAGTCTCCTGTCTAGCCAGGTAAATTACTTATAGACTGCCAATATCTGACAACCTAAGTTAACCTACTGATTACTTTTTTTATTTTTTTGAATTAGTCTTTCCATTCCCGAGCCCCTAAAGCCCTCCTAAAAGCCTGCAGATGGTATAACAAATTATTACAGATGTTGTAGGGGGAATCTCAGTATAGAATTTCTTAATAAATCATATTTCCTTTCAAACAGAATGGATGCATTATTTCTCTTGTGTTTCTGAGACATTAAGGGTATCAAAGCATATATGATATGGGCACATGGTCGTCTTCTCTAATGAAAGTACCAACTTGTTCACCACCCCAAAGCTAGACCTCCTTAGTACTTGCAAGTGCCATGAAATAAGGTATAGATATGCATTTATCTACATACTTATGTGAGATATACTCCTATAGAATATATAGGACTATATAGTCTATATAGTTGGTTGCAGAGGAAAAAAATATTTAATAACTACAGCCTTTCATGGGGGAGAGACATTAATTTAAGGAGTATCTTACATAGTCAAATGGAGCTCAGACCCAGCTGTGTGCCAGTTTGCAGCACAGAGCCCTGACTCCACTGATATCCATAGCCAGGAGTATTTAGTACCATCCAACACCACAAAGAAGAACCCTTGCATTGGTCTTTCAATTGTTCTCTGTAGGCTGAAAGCAAGAGAAAAATAAAGGTACCAGAGAGACTCTTTAATAGATCAGACTTTCAATTTTTATAAAAACCAGCAGTTTCTGAGATGATAGGTTCACCTCAAACAGTGGGAGTATGAGGAGGTGGGAGCTCAAAGTCTCCAGTCAGGTTTGCAGCATGGGGACCATCGTCAAGGAAGGACTGATATTCCTCAAACATTTGGAAGAAGACCATACATTCAAATTTAATTATCTGTTACTAAGTGGGAATTTACTTCACTAGGAGTCTATGTAACATAGCACCCTCAATTATGTTTGTGCATCTTATATTTAGCTATTGTCCGTGGAGTTAAATGGACTACTTAAGTGCTGAGTAGCACCTAGCTACTTAATTAAGGAAAGAATAGTATAAGTAGTTATGACTGATCATAAAGTATCACAGCTTCAGAATCCACCAAAGCTGACTCTCCCAGAAAAATGCAGCAAAAGATATTACTACTATATAAGTGAAATGTTAGGTCAAATCAAAGGCTGAAATATTTCGGCACTTAGTATCTATTAGTTATAGGTTATGATCATTTTTCACTGTAAAAATGCAAAAAGAATTACCATTTGGGGATCTCAGTCTTTGGCTGACAGTTAAAAAAAGCACTCCAAATTTTAGCAGCCCAAGGGGCGTTTTGCCCATTTCAATCATGTAAATACTTGGCTGACTTAAAAGATGCAGAGTTTTATCCAAGAAGATCAGTTCTGATGTTGGTGTTAATAAACTATGTATGAGAAACAGCTAGGTCTATCATCTCTTCACCACCTCCATCCCAAATGAACTAATCATCACAGAAAGCACTCTTTTAAGATTTTTACAAATCCTTGCCAATCATTACCCTTAGATTATATATTCACAAAAATTATTGCACCGTCATAATGTTGTCACTCTTTCACATCACAGTTTAAGCCCTGAATATATTTTGAACACAAAAAGTCACCTCTGGTAACACCACGAGGCACTACTTGATTTGCAAGCCAGAAGCTTGCTGTGCCATGCAGTCGATTACTGACAAGGTTTCTTAAGGACATGTTTGCTTCAAATCACTGCAGAGGATGCTGGTAGCTTCACCAGAGCTTGATAGTTCTCTATGTTTCATGTATGCAGTATGCTCAGTGCTGTTTGCCATCATTAGCCATACTTATTTTACACGGGTTTTGTCAGTTGGGCTTTTTTTTAACATTGCTCATCCCTTGCAATATGGAAGAATAAGAAACATAAAGGATCTTGTCAATCAGTTTGGATAGTCAACAGTCAAAATCCTTTATGGACAGTCCTCAATTAAACCAATTCGTTCTCTACACAGACCTATACTCTCTGTGTATTTCAGATATTTGTTTCAAACCTGTGCAGCTGCATGAAGGGAAAATACTTACTAAAAAGCTTTAAAGTTTGGATCAAGAAAAAGATTTTTACTTTTGTAAACTCTTGTATTACATATTGCTGTGGTTCTTATCAGTTTTCTCTGTAGATCCATTTTTAGTTCTGAAAAATCATTGTACTTTAACTATGTAGATAGCTACAATCTTGTAAGCAGTCGTATTTTTAAGAGGTGCCACTGCAAGTTAGGATTAAAACATTCAAGGTTTGCCCACGCAGAGCAGATTGACGGTTCATTACAGTTTTCTTTAAAATGTTGTAACATAATTTTTACATGTCTGTAAATAAATATTTTCTCTGATTTATGCACTAATTCCGTTTTGTAATGTCTTCTCTTAAAATGTGTGTAAGAAACTTTCCAGGAAAAATATATTTCTCTGATGGAAAAACACCATCTAAAGTTCTGTAATACAGCAGTGCTTCACAAACTTTCTAAGCAGACCAAACAGGAACAGGCATCCGTAGTACAAAGTACTTAAGTAAGTAGGATGGAGTAAAATGGAGAAAAGTGTAGTAAATACTGCTATCGTTTTAACAGTTTCAGAAATTTAAGGACTTGTCCTGTGTTAAAAAATGACAAAGAAATGTAACAAACTTCCTAAAAAGAGGAAATTCTTCTGTGGGGTCAGAGAGACGGAAAGAGAGAGGGCCATCAACGGTATTTCACTGAATTTGATGAATGCATTTTCTTAATCTTGGAAGCTTCTAAGTTTCATCGACTTCAAAGTAGCACAAATAAATCCAACTAACCAAGCAAAAATGTTTATACAGGTTACATTTAAAACTTTCTGATAGTATCTTGGCTATGTATATTTAACAGCCTAAGGTAATGGAGAAGAAGGTTTGCATGACCGCTCTGTGGTGTATTACTATATGTGAATATATTTTTGATGTGTAGCTGTGCGTATACGGAAAAAAAAATATTCTTCCATTGCTTTGTGCATTGGATAATTAGAGATGCTTCTCTTCAACTAGAGACAACTAATGTTGTGGAAAATAAGAATCAAACTCATCCCTGGGGTAACTGCTGATATCAGTTATTGAATGAGTACCTCCAGTGTCTGCTCCAACTGGATTCTTAAGCAGAAACTGTGATCGGTGCTCACCCTATGAGGAGTTACAGCAAAATTTAGCATTTATTTAAAGAAAAAAGAAGTGATAGCTCATATTGCAGTCTCTCGTATTGCTACTGCAGCAGGAACACTCTGGAACACGGTGGAGAAGCAGAGGAAAATCAAGAGGGTAGGGCTGGAAATTGAACAGGACACTGAAACTTACCTGGGGATGATGGAGGAAATGACTGAGGGGGGATGTGCTGCACTTGTATTCATTTTATATTTGAAGGAACCTGCCCCACATATTTATTTATTTTCACATCCCTACTTGTAATGCCATGATTCTGACTATTCTTTCAAGGGATAAGCCTCCAAACTTCCAGGTGATTTTGATTGAACTTCCCAAGGATTCAACACTTACCGATGTTTAGCCAATCACACGGAAAATTGACCCACTGTTCAAAATTTTGGCCTTGTCGTTTAATCCACAAGGTGGAGGAGGGATGTCTGTTTACTTGAGCAGCTACATTAACTTGCTTCCATTGATAGGAAAACTGTAGAAGAGACAGCTACACTTCTGACACAATCTAAGTGCCAAACTCCAAGAAAATGTATGCTGGTCCTGAGAGGAGAAGGGCTACGTAATCATAACGAGATGGCAACTGGGCTCCACCACTAGAAAAATTAACCCAGACAGCAGCCCATGCTTGAAGGACTGCTGCCAAGGGGCTGATTGTTTGCCAGCAGCAACTGGACACTTTACCTTACATTAGTGTTCCTCTGTGGGTAAGTGCTTTTATATGTTAAGCTAGTTTTCATTGTGAAAATAGGTAAAACAGCTCTCAGGTAAATGAGGTAGCACTGTCTTAAACCAGTAAAGAATTTGGCCTAATGTTCTATGAAGTTATTTCATCTTTAGTTATTTAAATCATTCCCATACAGCTTGAGTAATGTTCACCATCTCTGACTAGGAGGGAAAAAACGCATTTATTTTCAGAAAATTCTTGAGCTTTAAAAGTGTATTTTCTCAATGTCATCTCTTCTCTTAATCTCATTTTTCTCACTCTCTCTACTATGTTAAACTGGAAAGAATTATAAAAAAAAGTAAACATTTTGCAAATACAACATTCAGAAAGTATTGGCAGAAAAGAGAAATTTTAATTCATAAACACAAACAGGAAACAAGTTTATTAGAAAGGTATCTTTTTAGACTGACAAGTAGAATAGATAAAAATAGGAAAGCTTTCAGGTGTACAAGCCTATCTTTTTTTGGCTCGATTGCCTTGTCCACAAAATCACTGCAGGTAAAAATGACAAATCAAAATGCAAGAGACATTTTCTTATCAGCAATGGAGCTATGCCACAAATCATATCTCTAGTCAGTCAAAACGCTGATTTATGTAATTTTTGCACAAATCATTATGCATAAAACATAAATCAATGTCTGAAGTGATGATTTTGGGTTGGGTCCTTTTCCTTTTTGTTTTGGGTTTTGTTTTTTTTCTGCCAACAGACACTCTTTTATATTTTGTTCTCCATCAGTCCTCTACTTAACAGAGGTGGACAAAGTTGTACGCAATATGTGATACTAGGCAGGTAAAAACCTAGACATTTCTTTCCTTATTTCTGTGCAAGACAACTTTCAGTGGTATGTATCGGGACATTTGCTGTGTTTGCAATGACATATTGCAATCTTGTAATCAATGTATCGGTATATGAAATGCTGCTTTACAAATCCATTTGCTGAGCACTATTATTTAAAGTGGCGGGCTTCAGAGAGCAAGTGTATCAGGTCACGTCTCAGCAACACAAAAATGGTTTTTGACAGCAAACTATATAAAATCAATTATGCTGATTTCAAGGATGAGTGACCTTTCAGATTTGAATACTTCTCCATTTACCTGGGAATCACATGTAAGTGAATTGCAAGTTTCTGAGTGTTTTTTTGTGATAGACCAACAATGTGGGAAAACAATAATCCAGAAGTGCTACTAGCTTAAATGTGGCCCATTCTGAATGATTTGTTCCACCCTGGTTATGGAGGATCCAAGACACGTCACAAGATACCATGATAGCAGCAGACAATC